TATGTCGCTGAACAGACATTTGCAACTCAGGTATTAACCAGCCAGTTATAAAACACTATGTCTCTTGGATGTTTGAAGAGAATATAAGTGGTCAGTTGCAAGGTGTTTAAACATCCAGGAATTTCAGAAACCAGGAGTTCCAATTATTGCACTGTGGGAAAAGGCACGGAAAAAATTGGTCATGCTCATTTTTATTAAACTTTACTACGTTTTCTCATCTCAGGCGCTAATGTTTTACCAGATAAGTAATTTTTGAATAAGGTACTACATAGACCTAAACTGAACATGTCCCAAAGGGAATAAACACAAATATAAGTGATCGATTTTGGCTGAATTTTGAGACTCACCAGGCCGATAATATAAGACGTTGCATGTTTCTGAAAATCATCCATCCAGGTTAAAAGACATCATTTTTTCACTTATTATCGGTGCTTTCAAATTTTCAGAAAGTCAAGGTGTAAACCCCCCACGAAATGCACTAATAACAATAGAACACTTGGTTGATCCATCGTACTAAATTTGCATATAGCGCCGTTGGGAAAAGCACAGAGAATAACTCATGTAAGGCGCCTATTAGCGGCCGTAACCGTCGGTCGTAACCCACCCAGTGAGCGAACAAATGACGGCGTATGAATGCATCAACATCGCTTTTTCTCTGCTCTCACGCCGACAAAGGACACAAGTTTATCCAAAATAATAGGTCCATTTTGAAACCATTAGTGTGTCATTCTTTGCTGAAAGTGTGTAAATTCTTGCTCGGAGCATTAACATGAAAGTGTGTCATTCTTTGGTGAAAGTGTGTAAATTCTTGCTCGAAGCATTAACATGCACAACACCGATCGGAGCAAACAGAAATATGTCGTGCGTAGTCATGTCCACGTGAGCAAATGTTTTCAACAGCGTAACAGCACAAGTGCTGAGTCGGTCTGGTCAAACCAAAAGCGTCTTGCAGATACCATGTCACGTGTGAGCAATAGCCGAGTGTCAGCAATGAAATCGAAATAACGCTAAGGCCTATCACACACCTACTGACAAAACATATTTTCAGCGTCATACATTTTATGGTGACTGCTGTTTTACCACGCAACCGCCGCAAAAGTTCATTCAGCTTGAGTAATAATAATGCTCCCTCAAACGGTTGGGATACCTCACGTGATTGTTAAATGTAAATGGTTTACCTCAACACGATGGTCCAAGTACATTCACAAAAAATCGGTAGATGCTAAAGTCCATTAATTTAGATGATGTTTTATGTATGGAATAAGACAAGGGTCGAGAGAATTTTTCGAATTTTGCAACTCACGTGAATAAAATCCATCGAAATTAAGGCTCGCATACTGATATCATCGTTTTATCCAAGTTAGTAGTAGTAAGTAGTTACTAGGCAGTCAACGAGATTCTATGGAGGCCGCCGCGGACCTATTAACTGCATGTGTGCGAATTTGTTACTTCAGATTATATTTGTTGACAAAGCTCCCTGAACTAGTCACTGCTAATTAATTGAGGGAAGATAGCTAAGAAAACTCACTTAAGCAAAGTTCGTCTTCAGCGCACCGGACTGCAGCAAAAAAAGCATTTTGTTAAATGCAGCCCCAGATCGCATTTGAGTTACTATGAAATAAAGCAGTCTCGTTGTGCAAATTTTTGAGGGTATGATTGACGATGAGTTAAGTTTTGCGACATGGTGGTCAAAATAGCTCAGGTAAATACCTTCCTTTTAATTGTAAGTTGATGAATATTTCATTATATAAAAGGCCATCAAATGCATGATATTTTGAACAAACTCACCTACGCAGCGGTCCAGAGCATCTTTCCAGCATTTACCTGGAGATCGGCGTTGCAGATCAAAAGGAAGGACATGTCTGGATATGAGATCAAGTTGTGCCTTACTCAGTGGATTTATCCAAAATAGTTGCGGACATATTTCAATGAAATAAGGTCTTCTTTCTTAAAGTAACGGTTTTGAGATATTTTGAAATATGACCACGCATGTTGAGATTTTGCCCAAAAATCGATCAAATACATCGCGTTCTGCAGCAAACCAGATCATATTTGATCCTTTGTTTGGTTAGATTTCTTGTAAAAACACGCATATCTCAACTATATTTCGCTGCACCATTTGGGGAAACAAGCCATGCACGTGGTTTGTCATTACCTGGCGTCTCTAAATCGACACGCGTTTACAGAAAGCTTTTTCGCTAAATAGGCGCAACATTGGTTTGGTTGTGCCACGAATGGTGCAGTATTTTTCTGTATAACAAATGATTAAACTAAGTAAATGGCGACATTTTGCTAGAAAGGTTAATGTAAGTCCGCGGTAGTTGATCATACAAACACAGTAGACAATAATGGAGCTGAAGACACGGGTAAAACCTACGTCGTTTGCCTTCGTTTTTCTGGTGTTTCTCTGAGAGAAATTGTGAAAATAAAACTCTGTGGTGCTCCAATAATTTGTGGCACACTCTGTCATGCGGAAGCCTCTAGCAAACAGCGAATGTCGGTTATGTGTGAGGCTAGAGTGTGGCTGCTAGAGTCGAATTAAACAAAACCTTAGACCATACAGCGTGATTTTCGGGAGCAAGAGAAACAAATCTTGCCACCAGCTAGTATGACAGTTTGTTTCTAAAACCCGGAGTAAATTTTGACTCACTAATGCTAAACTATTTTGTTTACCCAGATATTTCTTATCGAATTCTCCGCCGCGAAGATCCATGCCACGACGGCTTGGATGACGATTTCACTACCCTGACCCAAGTGAGTCAGTGATACCTCTTACTGTAACCTACCCTACGCGATTTGCACATTCAAAAACATTCTATGTGGAACCTAATTGCCTTTAAAATATTAGGCTCATCATTGCACGTGAATTTTAACGACATGACAGACCTAGGCAACGATTCTTCTCTTCGTAATTGCACAGATCTGAAGAGGAACAAATACCATTGGTTGATATGAATTTGAGTGGATAAAATGTTGGCATTTGAAATCTACTCCGATTTTTATCAAATTTCTTGGGTAACAACGTTTCAAATTTCGGTTCCTGTGTTACGCTACTCCGGATATAATAGCGCAAACTCTCTCCGGATAACAGCGCAAATTCGGAGAGACCCGAACAAACGAGACGACCGTAGTACTTTTAGGGCGGCCGGCCGAGATGCCATTCACACATAGATAATCAGCAGTTTTTTCCATACTTACCGCGACACGAATCCACCTTCTCAATTGCTGCATCTGAAACGGAAAAATCCGATTAGGTATACGTCTGAGATGCACATGAACAAAAACAGAAGCCTTATCCGTAAAATTGTTCCGGACTGAATTCGCTCCTCTGAAGATTCACATCAAGTAATTCCACTGCATTCTCCGCTCATCTATGTTGCAATTAGACTTCATGTAGATACGGATCCAGAACGCATCCTGTGCTCGACAGCCTTGGTGTGGATTAATGCTGAACTTCATTTTTAGGTATTATATCACCTAAAGTTAGACGGTGATTCTTTGGATCGACCGTGTCAGGTTTTGAATTAAGCCTACTGTGGTTATTCACCTGTTTCCGCCGTTCTGTCTGCAGAATAGCCTACTGCTTCCTCAAAATTATGCATCACATACGAGCACACAAGTGACAAGGTTAAAATCCGTGTTTGTATGAGGCTATTTATAAGAACAACGTTGTTTTTATTTTGCTTTACGGAGTGGCCGGAAAATTCGAGACTAGCCACACAACACGTTTACCGATGGGAAGTAAGTTTTTCTTTTCAGAACTGTATTTTCATAAGGCTCTATAAGATAACTTTTCGGGGTTTACTTGATAAAGATTATTGGCCACTTACAATCACCTTCTTGCGGATCATCTCCGCATGCTTCTAAGAATTTAAAAATTATTGTGAAAGAACGGAAGAACAGCCAATAATAATAATCAATCTGCAAAAGAAATGGGGCGAAATCTGCTGATGCATTTCTTCCAGTGGTGAGTGGCATCGGAGGCCCCATATCATGCAGTCTTTTGGAAACGAAAGCGAACAAATAGCTTTGCATCTGAGCCACTCAGATGATTCTGGTTTAGCCGACCCTTAATGTTATACTTTCATCGATCGTTGTTTCTAAGAAAAACTGATGTGTGTATAATATATATTCGCTAGACTTTTCCTGCTTACAAGCGGAAAAGCCACTCTAGAGCTTGTGTACTCCCTCCGCTTTAAGGATTATTTCCCGATTTTCCCCGTGTCAACGATGGCATTGCAGTTAATTCAGTAATTCAACCGTTTTAAAATAATATATTTCCCTTGGGGCGTGAAAGCGTTAGGAACTAATATCTAAGTGCCACAAAAGAATGGGGACAGTGTTCAATGTATTTTTGAATGATCATTCTGACACATTCTTGGTCCCGAATGAAATCCATTGCAGCGGAAACGTTTGGATCGCAGTTTACCAGCTTGAGTACGCCCTGTGACGACGTCATCAAGCTGCTTCCAGAAATGAAATAATCGAGGATTACTAAAACGTTCATTTGTTTGATAACATTTGTGCACAAACCTCATCCAAGTGCTTCATTTACACAAATTGATAATGCTGTGATAAGAATGAAATTTGTAAATACAAACGTTGGGTGCAAATGCTAGATGGATGTTTTGTCATCTCTTCTAAATACCGGAAGTATTTCTATCTGATAATTGAGTTTTCTCCCGGCTTTTAGAACAGTGTGTTTGGTGGCGTAAAAATCCACTCGAATCTGAATCACACATTCACCGGCGGTGAAGAAACCATGTTGTGCTCAAATTTTTACATCGCTTGCGTGTCGGAAAATACGTGCAGCTTGTAAAAAATATCATTTCTTACCAATACATAAGTCATACTTTGGGATACTCCTTGCCAGGACACTTTGCACTAAAACAAATAATTAAAACGCACAATAATTACGTAATATACGTATACGCGTACGATGTTGAATTTCACAATAAAGGTGACCTACACGAACCAACGGCGATAAGCATAAAATATATTGACATAAATATCGGTCACCAGAATTCTTAGACTGTTCGCCGTTTCATCTGCTTTGCTTTATTTTATACTGAGTCACTCGACCTTGACGTATTTCACAAATGGTGATCGAGATTGATTTGCACAGTTTTTATACGCTAATGTCAAAATCGCACTCATTTATTGATCCCGAAGCCTGTTCTGTAAGCCTCCAACTATGGGGTATCGTGATAAATAACGTCACGTTATTGATGGCCGTACATTGTGCAACAATTAGTTCAGAGCAAATATCACAATTATTCGTATGCGTCTATTAATTTACATCAAAGTATGTCATTGGTTAATTTATGGACCATTTTATACTGATTGTAATTTTGGTTTTTTTTTGCGAAATAGGTATGTTTTTTCATAGCCACACCACTCTCGCTTGAACGGCCGTGTTCCGGTTCTGGCGTGATTATTCAGGTGAGCCCAAATCAAAGGGTAGCACTGCACTCGAGTTTTGGGTATCAGAAGTGAATATCCAATGGCCGTGCATAGCTCGATGTAGATTCCCAATTTCAAATAGAAAATTTAGGGAACTGTTTATTTTAAGACGGGATATAATCTAAATAAAAAATCAAGAGAAAAAGTATTAGCCTTTTTCAATTTTTGGGTATTCATTCTCCTCTGTGTTGCCAAAAACTGACCAAGGTTAGACAATTACCTACCTAAATATAATAAAGTCCGGAAAATTCCCAATGTTGGTTGTTGAATGAAAATCTTGTAGTGTGCAATATTGTTGGAAAGGTTGTGCTATTCAAACAGACCTTCGTTTCTAATGGAAGCAGTTGCAAAAACGCTGGCTAGATATCGATTGTTATCTGCAATACAGCACAAAGCTGAAATGATACAAGTCATAAAATTGGTGGGAACTTGGCGACACTTGCGACACTCCAAACTTTGATATGGCTAATTTTGATCGGATGACATACATTCATCGAAATGGCGACGCGATATAAGCCCCGTGCATTTGAGGCAAACTGACCAGCGTACTTCAAGTTCTTGAGGCATATTTGACTGGGCAATTTCAATTCGCTATGCCTATTTCTGAAGTTCCGTCACAGGTAGTGTTTGTTGGATTGAAAATTAAATTCAAATATTCGTATTTTGGTCAGCAATGTTCATGCTGTTCAATGTTAACTTACGGTAATATCATAGTAAATTTGTTAAGATTAGCAAAGTGGTGTTCCAGGCCCACCAAGAAGCATACAATTTTTTCGTCATTCTTGATTTTCAATAAGCCAAAATTACCACGTTCCTGGAACACAAGAAAAGGCCAGTGTAGATGTGCAAGTGTCAGACGGATTGAAGTTGCACGACACAACTATCAAAAGCGTTCATTTCATGGGTATGTGGACTTTACGGCTTCTTAGTTCATATGAATTATATTCACCGAGGCTAATTCAGTCTCGGGCATAGGACGTGCAAGTTGACACAATATTTCCAATTATTGAGGAACATAATATAAGTTGCGGCTGCGCACAAACTCACATTACCTGTCTACTGAACACCAGGGTTGGATAATCTATGCAAAAGTCGGTTACAAATCGATAGAATGAACACATGGAGCACCCAAACGCCTTGTCTCTCCACCCAGGTGGCGATTGCGAACGACTCAGGCTACAAGGAAAACTATAAATTTACAAACACCTTTATTTGCATAACGTTCCGACAGACATGTGATACCATCGACGATTCACTTCTATTATCGCACAATCTTTCCACTGAGTTCTGTATGTTCATATGGTAAGGAGACTCGAATCTACCCCAAAATGACTGCAATAAATGACTTGCAAATTGTCAAACCATTCGTGAGGTTATCATGTGATAGAAGTTTGAAGGTGGAAGATTACGTAACTATTACACCAACCATGTGAAGTTGTAATCAGTGTTTGTTCAAACATGTGTGTTAGATTGAACCTAAGCGAGCAGAGAAATTCAGGAAGGCACTGCAGAATATTTTGTATAATTGCAAAATCATTGTTGGTGGAAGTAAGGTGCAACAGTAAACGCTATTATCATTACAAAAATAAGAAAATCTTATTATCCATCTAAATTTCAAAGCTTGCCGACAGTTGAGCCATCGAAACTTTGGAGTTAAGGGTTAGTATACATTCGGAAAGCAGAATGTTGGACTTTTGGGCAAAGCTTTACACACTCACGCAGTTGCTACAAATAAAGGTGGATAACATACACTGATATGAGAAAGACTGAACATTCGTCACACATTAGGTTGATTCACTTTACCGATCTCTAGTCAGTTTGATGTCATTCACATCTACTGAAGATATTTATTTATTGCAGCCGAAATTATTCCTACCTTTTTCCCCAACAGTATATCATGCTTAAGCAAAGTGGAGCGTAAACATATACAACATACGAGCAGCTGCAAACAGAGGTAAAATTACTCCGCAGACTTAATGTTTGAAAAAAGCTATCAGGTAAGTTGACAGCTTCTATTCTCATAGGGCTGTTGGTAGTCTCAAAAAGTATTTTGTCAGGTTTGTAATGGTGTTGCTTGTGTTCCCTTATATAGTTAAGTAAAACGAAGGGAGTTAAGATAATATTTCTCAGCATCTGTCATTAATCCACATTACTAAATTACTGTCTTACAATTTGGACCTTATAACAGTCAATCCCTTTCTTCATAGTGACATGTACCTGCGATCCCCGACCAGCGATATTGTCAGCTTGGTAACCTCTAAACAACGGGACACATGTTGATTTAAAATTGCCAGTTTGTCTACTTCCGATGAAGGCCAACTCCTAGTTGCAAACATTGAAGCCCTCTGTGCAACTCGCCTTCCAATAACTAATGTCGTTTCGGTTTGTGTGATTCGCAAAACCTCCACCATATTAGTCCAAAAGTCATGGCCAGCATGCTCATAAAAAAACATACTGTGAGCCTAGATAAGTGTTCAATGTATAACAATATTTTAAATGTTTGAAAGGCCGATTTTTTTGTAATATGTTTCAGTTCGTTGCTCAAAAGTGACACACAAGATTTTATTTTCTACTAGGCTTGCGACAATATCGTTGAAAATGGGTGACGATAATGTCTGGTGTTGATATCAACAGATTTCGGTCAGGGTACTACTACAAACTAATCACTTGTTGAAGTTTAGTAACCCGATCTGCCTCCCCACCTATGATATACTGAGCACCATTAGAATGTCTAAACTCGCAAGCAGAAGGCGCAACTGTCAATCAACTTTATTAGAAACATTTGTCATCAACTCGCAACTGTTTTTGAAACAATCACTCCGTAGCCCACTTGGGCGATGATCATGCGAATCGAAGCAAATACACATCAGAATACGCAAATCTTCTTAGAGTCAAAAGCCGCGGGGAATACCTCAGTAGAAAACACGTGCATTGTTAATAGTTGTTTCTTGAGTGAACCTCCTAAATTGGTGCAAATTTCCCATATTCAGATGCTCTTTCGGCATCCGAAACAAGATGTAAACTACTGAGGATGTTAGCATCATTGTTCTTGATATTGGGTCTTTTACCGACATTCCCTGGCTTTTTCGATTTTATGGCTTTCCTTTATGCTTCTTTATTGTAGGTATAATTCAAGCCAAAAGCATTGCATGTTGATCGGTAAGATTGCCCATAAAACATTTCGGTTAATGCTATTCATAAGCAAACCAGCTTAATATTCGTGCTGCTCTACTTTTTAAAAATGTCGCTGTAGCTAATCATTGCTTGAGTAAAACCAGCCTATCTAGAAGTCTTTGGAAGCAAATCTTTCCGAATTCGGCTGATCTTCAATGGATATATGTAAGGCAGAATTTCAACGCAACTCTCAGTATACAACGTATT